TATTAATACATGGAATCATATCCCCCTTATGTATTAAACAACATGGAATCATATCCCCCCCAATATGTAATCTACATGGAGATCGTATCCCCCCCTTATGTATTATACATGGAGATCATATCCCCCTTATGTATTTTACAATGGAGAATCATATCCCCTCTTATTTATACATGGAGATCAATATCCCCCCTTATGTATTATACATGGAGATCATATCCCCCTTATGTATTATACATGGAGATCATATCCCCCCTTATGTTTATACATGGAGATCATATCCCCCCTTATGTATCTATACACATGGAGATCATATCCCCCCCTTATGTATTATACATGGAGAATCAATATCCCCCCCTTAATGTATTATACATGGAAGATCATATCCCCCCTTATGTATTATACATGGAGATCAATCCCCCTTATGTATTATACATGGAGATCATATCCCCCCTTATGTATTATACATTGTGATCATATCCCCCCTTATGATATTATACATGAGATCATATCCCCCCTACATGTATTATACATGGAGATTCATATCCCCCCTTATGTATTATACATCGGAGATCATATCCCCCTTATGTATATACATGGAGATCATATCCCCCTTATGTATTATACATAGATCAAATATCCCCCCTTATGTATTATTCATGGACATATACCCCCCTTATTATTATTAACATGGAGATCATATCCCCCCTTATGTATTATACATGGAGGATCATATCCCCCCTTATGTATTATACATGGAGAATCATATCCCCCCTTATGTTATTATACATGGAGATCTTTATCCCCCCTTAATGTATTTATACATGGAGATCATATCCCCCCCTTCTGTATTATACATGGAGATCATATCCCCCTTATGTATTATACATGGAGATCATATACCCCCCTTATGTATTATACATTGTGACTACATATTCCCCCTTATGTTATTATACATGGTGTTCTTATCCCCCCTTAATGTATTATACATGGAGTGATCATATCCCCCCTTATGTATTATACATGTTGAATCCCTCATATCCCCCCTTAATCTCCTCTTCTCAAGAGGAGAATAAATTCAGTTCCTCTAATCTTTCCTCATAGCTGAGCTCCTCCATGTCCCCCCCCCCTCTTATCAGTTGGTTGCCCTTCTCTGATACTTTTCCCCCTTTCTCCAGTTCCCCCAATGTTCTTTCTGTGAATTGGTGCCCAAAACTGAACTGCGCATATTCCAGATGAGTGTTACTAATGATTTGTACCGGGGTAATATCGATTTCTTATACCTCTTGTAATACAAGAGTGGATTCTTTGCTCACTTTAGAACCCGCAGCTTGGCATTAGCATGCCATTATTAAGTTTGTGATCTACCAGAAACTCCCAGATCCTTCGCTACCATTGATATCCCTCCCCAGTTGTAGCCCCCCTAGTATAGTATGATTGCATGCATATTCTTAGCCCCCAATGCAGAACCTTACATTTTATGGGGGTTTAAATCTCATTGCCACATAGTTGCCCAATTACACAGAGCAGTGAGGTCGGGATTGTAAGTTGGAGACCATCCTTGTAAGGACGTTATTCCACTGCACACAGCTTGGTGTCATCTGTCAAAAGACTGAAGGGTGATGGGATTTTTATTCTCAGACCTGGGTATTGTTTATAAATATGGTTAAAAAGTTAAGGGGTCCCAACACTGAACCTTGGGGTACATCACTAGACAACACCCTAGACCAAGTTCAGATGTATGAATCATTAACCACTACTCTCCTGAATACCATCTTTAAGCCAGCTTTCTATCCATTTACATACAGATTTTTCCAAGCCTGAGTTAGATTTTACCTTACACATTAGCCGTGTGTAGGGAACAGTGTCAAACGCTTTTGCAAAATCCCAACGTACCACGTCCCACTAGATCCACCCCCTCAAAATCCAAGTATACCACGTCCACGCCACCCCCTCTTCTAGTATACCACGTCCACGCCAGCCTCCCCTCTGTCCAAGTACACCACGTCCACGCCACCCTCTCTGTCCAAGGTTTACCACGTCCCGACGCCACCCCTCTGTCACAATTGGTATACCAACGTCCACGGCTTGTCCAATATACCACGTCACGCCTCCCTCTAGTCCAAGTATACCACGTCCACCACCAGGTGAGACCCCTCTTCCAGGGTTTGCTCCACCTCCTCATAAAAAGAATCAGATTTGTTTGACAACTTCTGTCTTTCATGAATCCACGCTGTCTGTGCGTGTATAAAATATTTTTTTCCCAGCTAGAACTCATCTTTGTGGTCTTTTATTAAACTCTCCAGCATCTTTCCAAATTATAGAAGTTAATCTAACAGTTCATGTTATTACTTGGTAAAGATTTTGACCCCTTTTTAAATATTGGGCACCACATTGGCCATCAACGTCAATCCAGTGGTACTATGCCAGTCATGTAGTGGCAGAGTCCCTAAAAATTAGATAACTAGGGTTTTGGGGGGTGGGGCAGAGGTGGGTGTAGGGTGGGGTGTATGCCAAAGTCCAGGTGCTTTATTCACCTTTGGGGTCTACAATATTTTTTGGATCATATCATTTGTGAGTCACTGTGGATTATCTGGGGCTAGTGTCAATACCATTGCCCATAATGGGAAAAGAGCTCCACAACCACGATCCTTTGTATACACAGAGCTGAAGAAAGTATTAAATTTTCCTTCTTTGTCCCCAATCTCCCACTCTAGATTAGTTTTGTAAAGGCCTAACATGGCTCGGACCGGACCCTTTTAACTATTAATATATTGAACAATTTTTGGGTTGGTCCTGCTAATCTTTTGCTATCTGTCGTTTGTTTTCAATTTTTGTTATCCTTTTTGCATATTCTGTTATATCTTTGTAATGTTTTAAAACAATGATAGTGTTCCTTCATTTTTATATTCTAATAAAAGCTCATTTTTCTTTATTATCTATAGCCCTTTTTAACTTTGGCTGTAAGCCACATAGGTTTGATTTTAGCCTTTAAACTTGTCGCCCATGCGACCGGATACTATTTTGCAGTGTGTTTTTCACATACAGTCTTTTTGAAGAACTCCCATTCTGTTTGTGTTCCTCAATGCCAATATTCCTACCATAAAATTGTCCTCTAGTAGGTTTAAAAATGTTTGCCCTTTAATTGTTCCTGCAGTACCATTACTTCAGTCAATTTCCGGGTAGTTAAAATCCCCCATTATTATCACTGTCCCAGCCCTTTCGATCTGTGCAAGGAGCTGAGTCTCCACCTTCTCATTAACACTGGGAGGCCTATAACAAACTCCAATGATTACCTTTGTAGAACGCACCTCCATGTGCAGTTCCACCCATAATGCTTCAGCCTCATCACACTCTCCATCAACTAGGTCCTCTTTCACACTCGCTCGAGATCACTTCTCACATAGAGACAGACACCACCACCTTTCCTATTTACCCTGTCTCTCCGAAAGAGAACATAGCCAGGAATAATAGTGGCCCAGTCATGTGAAGAATGAAGCCAAGATTCAACAATACCAATTATATCATAGCTCTCTTCATGCAACAAAGCTTCCAACTCACCTATTTTGCTTGGCAGACTTCTGGCATTGGTGAACAAACACTTTAATGGATTGACACCTTGTGCACACGTATTTTGAATATTTTTTAGTTTCATACAAATGGAACCAATTCCACTGGTTGTTTGTAACATGGGAACCTTATCTGCCATAGCCATCTCCCCATCTTTTCCCATTCCACCCCCAATAAGTACTGACCCCTGTCTGATCTGACCCCAGGCTGGTCCCCAGGACCCAGCCTTCCCCCCCCAGGACCCAGCCTTCCCCCCCCCAGGACCCAGCCTTCCCCCCCCATCTTTCCCCATTCCACCCCCCAATAAGTACTGACCCCTATCTGATCTATCTACCCCGTTATAATCTAATTATCCCTCCCTCACATAGAGCCATGGCTCGGACCCCCCCCCCCCCCCCCTCTCCAACCCTCCCACCCCCCGCACAGTTTCTCCTCATTAGCTCACTGGCTGTGATTTGATATCAGCGGGACTGTATAGGTGATTTTTTTTTTTCTGTGTCCAGTTTGTTTTTAATGTACTGCTGTGTGGTTCTACCATTTGTATGTGTTTTGCAAACGCATAGTCTACCCATAATACGTTTCAAGTTACACTCATATTTAGGGTGTCCATGAAGCAAAGCATTCACCAACCCTCTTCCGCAAACTGCACCCCAGTGATCACTGTTTCTGCGCTCTACAAGGTTCAGTGTTAAAATATATTAAACGCACGTTTTTAGTAAGTCATTGTTGGGGCATTTACTAAACGGTGAATTATTATTTTAAATGGTTTATTCAAACGAAGTCTAGCGAGGTGTGGTTTTAATGTTTTCAGCCAATTCTTCCTTGGAGAGTTTTTCAGAAACCATCAGTGAGGGTCAGAAGTGCCCCATATGATAGGAATGTGCATCCTGGGAAACATGCATTCTCTGAAATAGGGTGGGGTCTGTACATTTTGCCTCCCCTGTGTATAAAAGACATGTACACTTTAGTTCAAGTGTAATAGGTCAAAGATTGTACCAAATGAAAAATCCTTAGGAGTCCAAAGTCTTTATTGCTCAACTGGTTACAATAAGCAGGGCGAATAACACACCTTTTTTATGTGTTTTAAACTTTTCCTCCAGCCCTGATGAAGGGGGTTTGTACGGCCCCTGAAATGTGTTGGATGTCTTTTGTAATGAGTTTAACAATAAAGGCTTTTGAGGACTCAGGATTTTTCATTTGCTGCTCTTTGCCCCATTGCACTCGGATTTCTCCACTTGTGTGAAGGTCCTCTTAAGGGGGGTATGGGTTACTGTCTGTGTGGTGAGCTGCCAATTGGATCGTGTAATGACTTTCTGATATTTTGATAACCTGAGAAAATCTATGTCCAGCGCCCTTTTTCCACCTCCTCATGTACAATATTTAATGGCTGTTTCATTGCTGCATTTGGTTACTATTTATTTCTATTTCCACAG